CCTACAGTTCTTCTCTTCCGCTTTGTTTTGTTCGGTTTTTTCACGGTGGCATCTCTCCACTTCGCCACATGGAATGTTAGAGGCATTAGTCAGGAACACTCGCAGCATCTAGCTGCAAATGATTGCAACAGATACAACTTGGATGTTATAGCCCTCCAAGAAACTAAGGTGTCTAAACACTCAGACACTGTTATACCCGGCAACCACAGGCTTCTTTTGTTTAACCAGAAGTTGTCTTGGCATGGCGGACTCGGTTTTATTATCAACAGTAAATTTGTATCAAATGTTGTCTCGTACCATCAAATCAGTGACAGAGTAGCATACATGGACCTTTCTCTACCATCAAAGTGTCATGGGAAACCATCACTGAAAGCCCGTATTATAAACTGCTACAGTCCAACTAATGTCAAACCTATACAGAACCCACGCATTGCTGATGAGTTTTACTGTGAGCTCCAGGAAGCTATCAGAATTCCTGCCAGACATGAACTTTTCATCTTGGGTGATTTTAATGCTAGGCTAGGGAAACGGAGTAAATCAGATTTTGAAAGTGGTCTTCAAACTAACATGGGAAGACATGGTATTGGTCGGCGTAACGAAAATGGCGAAAGGTTGCTAGCTTTCATGATCACTAATGGACTCTATGCAGCTAACACTGCATTTTCACATGCGAGCAGACACACCAACACTTTTACAGGATGGATTAAAGACCGTAGATCCAAAAAGTCTGTACCCTGGTTTTCTCAAATTGATTATGTTTTATGTAGATCTAGAAGTACCCCTCTGCTTGTTGACGCTAGGTCTTACGCTGGTGCAAAACTTCAATCTGATCACAAAATTGTAAAAGCAACTTTTGACCTCAGTAAACGTTACAAACTTTACAGTACTGCCAAACACAAAGTCAAGCAGTACAACACCAACTCATTGGTTTGTAGCAAAGATGTTCAAAGTTCTTTTCAACAAAATGCTGCTCAGAAGATTGAAACTGATACATCTGCCCAGTCAGTCACTGAAAGTTTTAACAACCTTTTCGAGGCGGTTAAAATTGCTGCATCTGAAACAGTGGGTATGAAAAGAAACACAGCCAAACGTCACAGAACATCAGACCCACAAGTCGTCTCTATGTCAGAAAAGAGACACCAATTACTACAACATTTAAACGACAACAAAATGCGTGACAGAACTATCCTGCGTAAGGAAATCAACAGACTCAAGAATGACATTGCAAAGCGCCTTATTACACTTGAAACCGCTCATGCCGACCTTCTAGCTGAGACGATCAACTCCACTGATGATACCAGAAGAATGTTCGAAGCAACCAGAGCAATTTCAAGCACAAAGGACACTCCTCCTATTTCAGTATTCCTACCAGAAACAGAAGAACTTGCTCTAAATGACGAAGATAAGGCAGACATAGTCAAGAACTGGTTCATGGAACATTACACAGGCCCAGAACCCCCACTAGAACCTTTTGTTGGAGCTGCTAAGCCATTAGATACGCCTATAACTGCACTTGAAGTTGAGACAGCAGCCAAGAAACTAAAGAACGGTAAAGCCGTTGGTCCTGACAACCTCCCTAACGAATTCCTTAAGTATGCACCTCCTTCTTTCTACATGAAGTTTGCATCACTTATCAATGAGTCCTTTGAAAAACAAGAGCACGTTCAATCGTTCACTGAGGGATATCTTACCCCCCTACAGAAGCCTGGAAAACCAAAAGGACCAGTTAAGAGTCTGCGTCCCTTATGCCTTCTCAATGGAACTAGGAAAATCCTTTCCATGATAACACTCCAGCGTATTCAACAACAGATAGCAGACTACACTGGGCCATGGCAGAATGCCTATAAATCAGGACACAGCTGCTCGAATATTGTCTGGACACAAAGGGTTCTTATTTCTGTTGTCAAGGAGAAACATTGGGAGTTTAGTAAAATGGGGATAGACATGTCATCAGCCTTCGACACAATACATCGGTCAACTATCCTCAGGCTACTCGAAGATGCAGGATGCTCAGAAGATGACATAAGACTAGTTAGATATCTACTCGCTAACACCAAGCTCAGAATTAAGATCAAAAAGACGACATCAGGAGAGTTCGAAGTCACAATAGGAGCCTTTCAAGGTGACTGTTTGTCTGGCTCGCTGTTTACCATGTACTTAGCTGGAGCACTCTACCACCTTAGAGTTGTTGTTATACATCTACGCCCAAATCCCCCCAAGCTCCCTCCCTTTAGAATGGGAATATTCTGGTTATGTTGACTTTGCTGATGAAGATGAGGATTCGCTACACCAGCTCCTTCCAATTTGCAAGGAAATTCTCTCAGAATGGAATTTGTTTGTAAATGAATCTAAAACCGAGTTTGTAAAGTGTTATCTGGCTGGAAGTAGTGAGAAGGACGAAAAAGGAGAACCTCTAAGAAATAGAGAACCTTGGAGGAAGTGTGTGTCCCTAGGCTCTAAGCTATGTAGTAAAGAAGACATACAGCATCGTATAATCCTTGGAAATGTTGCATTCGAAAAATACAAGAAAGTTTGGATGCAAGGATCTAAGATTAATCTGAAGACCAAGATTAAGATATACGAAGCATACGTTACATCTGTTATGCTCTATAACTGCAATAGCTGGGCTACCCCTCAGAACCTATTTGACAAACTTGATGCATGTCATAGAAGACACCTGCGTCAAATATTGAAGATGACTTATCCCATTATTATCAGTAATAAAGCACTATATGAACGCTGTGGTGTAACACCGTTGTCAGAGCGAGTGACATATGCTCGCTGGAAAATGCTGGGACATGTCCTTCGCAGTGACTGCTCATCACCAGCTCAGAGAGCTCTTCAATTTGCTGTTAATGCGTTATTTACCATGAAAGGACGTGTTGGTCGACACCAAAGTAATCTTTTAAAGTTTATTATAAATGATTTGAATAAAAGAAACCTACCATTACGTGATATTAATGATCTTTATGATCTTAGGGCTACTGCCTCTAACAGAGTTTTGTGGAGAAAATTATTTACCTCATAATTAACCTTTATTTTTCAGAGAACTGTTATGTTTTTTTGGGCACTTATCAGTCTCTTAAGATGTTTCTTTACTATTTCGAGATTGTTTTAAAAGTTAGATAATAATAATATAAATAATTAGTAAATTTTTAAATATTTCAAAAATATGTTTTGATAAAAAATGTTCACAATCACAATACTGGCAAGCATTACCGTTGCCATTATATTCACAATACTATTTACCCCCTATATTATTATATCCACCAGCGTGCGCTTTTTCGCATAGCGGGCTCTCACCAGCCCGCTGTCAAAGGGCCCGATATCTCTACAGCCCGCTCATGATATAGCCCGCTAACAAGTGACATTTAATTTGACCAGTAGCAATATAGCCCGGAGTTCTCTAAAATATTTTCATAGCACGGAGATATATATATTTTATTTTTGTGTCCGGTAGGGCTGCTCATGCAGCTCGTGAGCAGATGACATGATACTTTGATTTATATCTAAGTTATTATAACACACTACATTTAATACACATCAGCACTATAATAATCCCCCTATTATTGATATTCATCGTCACTGACATTACATTCATTATTCTCACGGCCCAGGAATGCAGTGCCAGTCTGGATCTCTTATCTCCAGCCCCTATATACGACACAGCCCTTTATGATTGGCTTACATTGAACACGTGACGTGTTACCATGGTTACAACAATTAGTGGCGACCTTTTCTAGAGTTGACTTTTATACAAGCTCCATTGTTTATTTATAAGATTATATATTAACTGTAAAACGCCCGCTGGTGGATATAATCCACATCACCTCGACCCGCGGGCGGAAAAATCGTATAGCACTCGGGCCCGATGGGCCCTCCGTGCTATACGAAAATATGTCCTCCTCGGGCTAGCGCCCTCGGGGACATATGAAATATTGCACGCGCGTGCGCGTGCAATATTTTGTTCCGCCCGCGAGTCTCCGGTGATATGTATATATATCTCCTTTATTGTTTTTCAGGCATTATTTAACGGGTGATACTCGTAGAATATTTGTTCCGTATATTAGGGACCGTCGACGAGTCCAACTCGGGTTGTAAACCTACAAAGCATTATAAGACTCATCGAAATTAGTTCAGCAGGTATATTTAAGTTCAAAACATTATAATTCAATGTTAAAGATGATAGGAATAAAAAATAGTTATGTGGATGTTTTTGAGAGATTTGCGCAAAATACGCGCCACTATTTTGCGCAGCCGCCAGCATGTTATACATTTATAATAGTTATACGAAATTAGGTAAAAAAACCCAAAATCGCCATATTATTCAGGTGCTTTAAAGTTAAAAACCATGTAAACAAGAATTGCGCCCGTTGTTTCGTTTTGGCGGACGCTAGATTTCCATTTCACATTTACTATAAATTTAAGTATAAGCTCCAATCAGCTCACTTCAATCTTCATGATAATAATATTGATAAATTATGCATCAAATACGGGAATTGGGAAACACTTGAAATTCAGTTCAATTGCCGTAGAACTTAACTTGTATCTGTAATTCAATTGATTCACGATGTCAATCCTTCGCAGCTCGGTGAGGCACAATGGTGCATCTCGCCGATCTACCGAAGTGGTTGCGAGAAGCATTATTTGATGCGCGCGCGACCCAGTAGTGCATCGCAGTAGTATATCAGGGTTGAATCTCACCCCGAAACAGTATATATTCTGCTCGACCTTCTGATTGGTTTAGAACCGTCACGTGAGCTGCAGAACAGTGTCTAGTTGGCTATTGAAACCTGTCACGTGACCAAGGAGCATATCACGTGGGTCAAAAAGCTGTGTCTGATTGGTTGAGTTTCTCCTAAAGACTTCTCTTTGCAAGGAAAAGTGAGAGATGAGACAACTAGCTCAACAGACGAGCACTTTAATAAGTAAGAGACCAATGTTTATATCTTTTATTTTACAGTTACACTCACATCACACGCAAATTCACATTTAGTTTCACAAGCATGGGAGCTCACCTGGTCCAACGAGCTTGGTATTTATAATCACTTATACTGCACTCTCATGCGGCTTCTATATTAATATAGAAAGTGATACAGTGTCACATGCAACTATAAGTATAATGTTTGGATCGGTTTCTCCTAAAAGTTTCTCTTTGCAAGGAAAAGTGAGAGATGATACCAAAACCTCTTTGTATGTTCTAATTGTACAGTTGTTCAATTTATAACGTTACCATTCAGTTCTATCTCTATTACTCCAAGTAATTTTTAACAGTTTGTTTTTGAGTTACTTCGTGATCTTTCGTACCTCTAACCTTCGTATTCGTGACTATGAGTTCATCAGTAAGTTGCCTTGACTATTTATGAGAACATTCTGTTATTACCATTTCACGCCAGTCAGCTTTGGTTCTATCATGAGTCTGCTTGCTTTTGAAGTGATACAATGATATTTTTAAGACGATTTTAAGATTTTCTCTTCTTAAGTCCGACAGCAAACAGTAAAATGTTTATCCTCCTTACAGGCATTCGAAACCACCCGCCTGAGCAAACGTCGTCGTGAAACCTGTCCAACATGCAAAGCAAGTGTTGTCATCTCCAGCCCATTGGCTCTACAAGAACATCAAGCATCCAGCAGCTGCCAAATAGTTCACTGTGACATATGTCATATGCAGTACCCTTTTTTGAATCAGATTGAGCACGGAACTATGCATTTGAGAGAAGCACAGCCACTTGATACATCTCGCACATCTAAAGATTCTTTGGTGATGCCAACCTTTGTTGTAGAAGAAGAATACCAAGAGCTCTATATACGACATGAAAAGTACATCAAGCCTTATCGACTGTCTAAAAAACTGAGTGCCGTATATAACTTTCAATTAAATCGACTCTCAGTTGAAGAAATCAAAAAGTATCTTTTCATGGTTTTTCAGGATCAGAGTACTGCTTTCAAATTGAAGGTGTCTTTAGCTTTTATTTTAAGGAACAATGAGGATCAGTCATTACATTTTTATTATTCCTCACAGAACAACCAGCTTCTTTTCAATGATCCGTTTTTTGTTGGGAACCTTAACGACTTGCATAAGTTCTCACAAAAAATTGATGAAGTGGATCTGGTCAGTCATGTACATTACCCAAGTTCCAAGTTTACATTTGTTAGAATAACAAATGTGACATTTTTCCTCTCAAGAATTTTGCGTTGCCCAATTGGAGCAGCGAGACAGTTCCCAGACCACCTCAAGAATGTACAAGGCTTATACAGTTTGGTTGCTGATGCTAAAACAGGAGCACCTTTTACTGATAAGTTATGTTTCTTTAGATGTTTAGCACTTTTCAAAGGGTCAAAAATCACAGCTCTTGAGAGGAAGACCAAGGAACTGTTCAAAGAATACATAACTACGGTACATCTTTTGGCTTCGGAATTTGAGGGCATTGCTTTGGATGAGCTCGAGAATGTTTCAAAAATCTTTAAAATCGGAATCCAGGTCTTTTCGAAGAACACAAAGGGAGTCACCGAGCAGATATTTAGGACCCTAAAAGAAGATGATGTTATGAATATACATTTACACAACGAGCATTTTAGTTACATAAATGACCTGCACAAATTTTCACGATGTTTCCGGTGTCAAAAGTGTAATAAGTTGTTTTTTACTAAAGCACGTCTGCAAAGACATGCGGCCACCTGTGACGCAGCCACTAAGAACATCTATATTGGGGGTGCTTTTGGAGCAAAAAGAACTATCTTTGATAAACTAGAAGATTTTGACATCAACATTCCAGTGGAATTACGTTATTTTCCTTATCGAATTTGTTTTGATATAGAATGTGCACTGATTCGAGACACTGGTGTTGAAAATTCTGCGAGAGTGGAGTTTAGTTCAAAACATCTTCTTGCTAGTATCTCAGTTTGTTCCAATGTTCCAAATTATCAGCAACCCATGTGTTTGATTTCTACTGGCAGCGAGAAGGAACTAGTAAAACGATTTATTGCATTGGTTACAGAGATCTCGGAAGTTTCTTATACACTGATGCAGGATCGTTTCTCAGAGTATGAGACGGCCATTGACGAGATTGATGACGAAAACCTCGTACAATGTTTCGAGGAATACTTAAAGCAGATGCCGCTGCTATCATTTTACGGACAGAAATATGATATTCCTACAATGAAGACTCAATTGTTTGTACATCTACTCGAAAGTCAAGATGTCATAAAATATATCATTAAAAAGGGTACTGCATATTCTGCAATTTCGACGGAAAATTTTCTGTTTCTTGATGTTTCGAATTATTTGGCAGCGGGAACTTCCCTGGATCAGTTCTTGAGGGCCTATGGTGCTACTATTCATAAATCGTTTTTCCCTTATGAATATTTTGATAGTCTGGAGAAGCTCTCATCGAGCACATTCCCTGCATACGAGGCTTTCTTCTCGTCTCTAAAAGGTAGCAATACTTTGGAACCCAAACCTGATGAGCGACTATCAACTGAGGAGCAACAAGTCGCAAATCAATACCCACGACTCAACAACAACACAGTGCTATCTCAGCAGCAGATATCAGGTGTGGGACACTACAGATATGAGAAGCTGAGCGAGATGTTTAGTAACAATCATTGGACATTTGGAGACTTTCTGGCATACTATAACAACAGGCAAGAACTATTTTAAGATGACTTTGCGTCCGTTCACAAAATCGAATTGAGTTTTTTGACCAAGATAACTGTTAAGTAAAATGATTTCCAAATTTGTTTCGACGATCTTAATGCTCTACTCCTCAGGGATGTGGAGCCCTTTCTCGAAGCTGTCCAGAATATGACACAATATTATGAACAGCGTGGAATCGATATATTCAAAGAGGCTATTTCAGGTAAATAATTTATACTAATTCTATATAAGATTTATTCAAATCAATTCTCTCATAATATGGAGTAGGGTTTCTATCGAGTCACGTGATCAAGGTTAAGACCAATCAGCGTAAAATATCAAAGGATGTAAACATCAGTTTTACACAAAGACAAAAATAGAATGAAACTACAGCTTCCAATTACAAATTTACATATACTGTACACAAAACTGGAAAGTGAGGCCACTCCCTCACTTTACAGATCTAAACATTTAGACTTGTTAAATAAAATATAGCGAGTTTATTGTGTGCAGCAGATGTGCTGTGTATATAATAGACAATAGTGCGACATCTTCATTTCTCTATTCAAATCAATTCTCTCAATTGAAATAAATGTTACACGAGCTGACAGTACACATGTTACCAGAAATACGATGGTTTAGAAAATTAATCCCAACAAAACCATGATATAATAATATAATAACTTTCATAATTTCAGTTCCTGGTGTATCCCTCCGACTGGCTTTTAAAGGAGTAACAGACACTTTTCACCTTTTCTCCAAGAAACACAGTGACCTTGTGAAATTGATGCTTAGTTCGAATACAGGTGGGCCCGCAATTATATTTGACAGATTTCAAGAGGCGGGGTCCACCACCATCGGACATGGAGACAGTACTCCTTTAACTCGGAAGGTTCTGGGGCTAGGTATGTCTAATCATCTTGATGATCTACGTCAAGAATTTGTAACAAATTCATCAACAGTAATTTGATAAAATTTTGTGTTTGTTTCCTCTTATTAAAAGCGTCAAAAAGTAAGTTAAATTTATAGATCAAGGTACATATTTCTCAATCATTGTAAGTTTTTTAATTAATCGCAGATGCGAATGCCCTGTATCTATGGTGTACCGCTCAAGAGATGGCCACAGGATTATACATTCGACGCAGGATAGAGGACAATTTTCAGAAAGAGTATCCAAAACCTCTGTCCTTCGTTGCTTCAGAATGGTTGGCCGATGTGGAGCATCGAGAAAGTATTCACATAGATCATGCACGCAATGTGGGTGAATTCAGAGTCAGACCTCGCCGTATCCCTGTAGATGGATTTTGTAGGTGAGTTGAAGAATTTAGAAAAAGCGTTTTATTCGTAATTATTGTATCGATCTCAGTCTCTAATCTTAAAATCTGTTCTATCTTATTGATATCTTTATTCATGAAAATTAACTTTCAGACAGACGAACACCGTTTACCAGTTTCATGGTTGCTGGTGAGTGTCGCTGATCTGTTAAATTGTAACAATGATTTATATTGATTTGTTTTACATCGCGGCTATGTTTTTGAGATAAAACACTTTTGACTCCAAATGTGCATCATATTATTAGAAGAAAACTGTTGCTTTCCCTGTATTGATTTCATTATAGGTTTCATGGCTGTCCCACCTGCAAACCTGAAAACCGTGATGTGAAAACCGGTGGCAGATCCCTGAACCAGAAACTCAAGAAGACTGGGGAGATGAGTGAGTATATCCGAAGCCTTGGGTATGAGCTGATTGAGATGTGGGAGTGTTCCTGGACCCGGTACAAGGTGACGCACGAGGTTCACAATCGTTACGTCTACCCTACCGAGAGACTCTTCAGAATGACCAAGCAGCAGATTCTCAGTGGGATTATGGCGGGACACATTTTCGGTGCTATTCAATGTGACCTGAGGGTCCCTGATCACCTCAAGTCATATTTTGCTGAGTTACCACCAGTGTTTAAGAACACTACTGTTAAGGTAGAAGATATCGGGGACCACATGACCGAATTTCTCCGTTCAACGGAGAAAACTTTCAAGCCAACCCGATATCTGATTGGGTCTATGTTTGCTAACAAGATCCTAATCATTACGCCGTTGCTGATTTGGTACGTACAGCATGGGCTTGAGGTGACAGAGATTTATCAAATCATTGAATATTCACCGAAAAAATGCTTTAAATCTTTCGCTGATAAGGTTTCAGAGGATAGACGCGGCGGTGATTGCGATCCAGCTCTAAAAGTAGTAGCCGAGACCAGCAAATTGATAGGCAAGTTTCATTCAATTCTGTTGAAGCTTTTAAAATGAGGCCCATTTACATACGAAACTTTTTTACTTTTAGCTGTATCGGTAAAATATTACTAAATTGTTTCCGTTTACACCACAAAATTCTCAGGAAACAGTTTTTATGGTTATACTATAATGAATAAGGCGAAACATTCTAAAGTGGCAGTGGTCGACGAAAAGGATGCTTCAGATCTGGTCAATAGTCCCCTCTTTTCGTCTCTCGATGAGCTATCTGATACTTGTTTCGAGGTGATTTAATATAACTCTTAAAATATTCTCTTGTTAGAAACATGATATAAATATAATTTTATTATTATTTAAAATAACGCCATAACCAAATACTCAAAAAATAATTTTAAATATTTCATCGCATTAGGTAACATCAAAAAAGAAGAACATCCGCTACGATCTGCCCATTCAGATTGGTTTCTTTGTATATGCAAATGCAAAACTCAGAATGTTGAACTTTTACTATGACGTGCTCGTACGATTCATTCCTCGTCCTATGTTCTCACTCTGTGAAATGGACACAGGTCAGTTTCCGTCGAGTACTAACTTTAAAAGTGTAATTTAGAAAGTCATGAAAAACGGTCTACTTGCCATTACTACGCGCTGACGCGAGAAGAATAGTTTGAAGAAAGGTTTGCGCGGCTCAATCACGTTCCGCGCGCGTTATATATATATTATATATAGCTCGATAGAATCAATCAGCTCAGCTAGATAGATGCGTATGATATAGACTGTGTGTATATACTTCGTTACAATACTATGCAAACTGTTGAACGTGCTAAAAATTTACTTCTAATGTATTTCCAGATTCGCTGTACATGGCACTGGCTGCAGAAACTCTCGACGAACTTGTGAAACCTGATCAGCAGGCGGAGTGGAATTTGGTAAAGTTGCAGTGGTTCCCACGAACAGACACCGCAGAGCACGCTGCTTACGACAAGCGAACACCCGGTAAGCAGCTATTTGTAGCAGGAAACGTTTTATTGGTTTTCATTTTCTTAAAAAATATTCTATTGAACTTTCGTAATAAGGATTTTGTTTAGTTATTATGAATTTTGTGTCTGATTCATTCTCAATCTCAGGTCTATTCAAGGTGGAATGGAGCGGGAGAGGTTTTGTAGGATTGTCAGCCAAAACCTATTTTTGTTTTGGCCCTGATGACCAGCAAAAAGAAAAGTGCTCAGCTAAAGGCATTAACAAATCAGCCAAACTTACCTGCGAGCACTTCCGTTCTGTTCTGAATAGTAAAAAGGCGGTCAGCGCCACTAATCGGGGATTTATTTTAAAGGACAATAAGATGTTATCTTATAAAATGGAAAGAACTGGATTAAGTTATTTTTATTGTAAAAGAAAAGTTTTAGCTGACGGTATGAGTACAACATATCTCGACATCTAATACCGTCAACTAAAACTTACTTTTGTTTTGATTTTTTTATGTCTTGTATCTTTCAGATTTTTTTTGTTATTATGATAATTTTGATGTAGATTGTTTTGAACTCATTTGTTTTTTGTTTTGCAATAAAAGACTCTTATAGATTTTCAAATAATTCAACTATTCTACATACTAATTGACACTGAAAGAAATGCTTTTCAAGATTCAACGTCACCGAATTTCGTCTAAATAATTTGAAACAAGCTTATCATTTTCCGCTAAATGTACACTAAATACAGACAGACAGGATTTAAAACTACGCTTGCTCAGCTCTCTAATGAAATAAACACAATAAGCACCGCAAGCGTTTGAAGTTAAACGCTGCAACCACTTTCTGTTACGTGAGATAGTCTCATCCCCGATGTAACTTTTTATTGCTATGGTAAAATTAGCTTCAAAAGTTGCGTCGTTGTAATTTCGTCCATAACTGTCGATAAAGTAAATCCTCCCGTGTTTGCGCTGTAACACCAGCCAGTGGTCACCAGGTGACGACGAATTACCAGTATTAACCACCAAACTAAAATCTTCATCAAGTTTTGGTGGTAAAATGTCGTACGCAAAAGCGCCCCGAAAATGACTGACGTCAGCTAATGTTTTGTCAATCTCTAGCGTATCCATATGGTCGCATCAATGACAGATTCATTGCTTATATACCATAAATGGAGGCTTATATCACGATTACCTGACGATCGTTTGTCACCTCTATAATTTCATCATACCAGGCTAAAACCATCAAAACCCTCCCTGCTGGAGCGGCTTCTGGGAACTCTAGCTGGAGTCGCACAGTTCCGCTTCTTTGTAAATTCAGGGCTTTCTGATTCCCGCCACTAGCGTCTTGACTCAAATCAATGAATTGGGCTGGATACGCTCCATAATAATGCTGTAGAAGATTATCACCGCTATTAACATATCCGGATTGATTGAGAAAAGCGTCCCACATGTATGTGTAGTCGTCGTTTCCTATACGTTCAACGTTACGTGGAAAATGTTCACGCCCATTAACGTATACCTGCAGTGACTTTAGGGGATGTAATGAGAATGCGTTTTTGGAGCGAGTTTTCCCAAAACTCGCACGATCCTGGACACCAATTAAAAAAGAGTGTGGTAGTGTTGAGCCAAATATCGATGATACAGTCAGATCCGCTGCTCCTTCTGGAATAGAATGAAAACTCAAAACGCTCTTGTCGGTATGATAAATGGCATTTTCTTTTTTCAGCCTCTGTTCAATTATGTTTAAGACAGCGTCCTGTGGTCTCTGAAACGTGCAGCGTAACATTATTTTATCGAACTTCACTTTGTCTGTATGATTGTCGGGAGATAGGAGAATGAACTCTGAATAATTTTTGGTTAGTGTCACTTGCATCTCCAATTCTGACGGAAGTAGCTTGTCCTGTTTGAATATGCTAGCATCGAGGTCAGAAACTAGGCAGACCTTTTTACCTAGAGCTATGTTTTTAGCTCTATCTTGTCCACCACCATTCACAACAGCTGTATCTGCATCAGGGAAGAAAGCAACGTCTTCAGAATGAGCCTTAGTTTTAACAGTATCGATCCAGTATCCTTCTTTGGAGTGTAAATGAGGGTGACAACCCGATCGTGTGTTCAAAGTGGTTTCCCAGAACTTCGAAATAGCATAAGCATTATCGAATGATTGAACTAAGGAGGCGGATCCAGCAGTAATTTCAACATTCCTGTATAATGCAGCTGCCAAGTGCGGGAGAGTACTGACCGGATGATTTGCTGCAGGATTTGCGTCGGCCGCCGTCAAGACACGAATTTCACTCACAATTTGAACATTTTGCAGCATCATTTTTGACATTGCCGGAATTATAAACGTCAAAGTGTCAGAAGCTTCAATAGATGTTGTCGGAAAAATATCGATAGTCTTTGTTTCAACAATTCCAGTTTGTGTGTGAATTGTTTCCCAAAGGTGTAAATTTGAAGGCAGAGCCTCCACAGATTTAACATATTTGGTCATCGTGCTGTTAGTGTTGAGTCAAGAATGAGAGCCAGCTTACAACTGGCTTTATATAGCCTAGGAGAGCGTCCCGTATTTCGGTTTTTTGGCGTTTTTGTTGATCTTATCTGTGGAGATGGCATTTCCCAATTTCCTGACTCCGTAATTTGCTCCTTTTTCGATACCCTTAACTGCTAATTTTTGAAGCTCTGGTTTGGCTAATTCGATGCCACTTCTTAAAAGTGACTTACCTATTGGCACGACTTGTTTAAACATCTTTTTCAGAAAACCGCCGATTCCGAACCCGGTCTGATTATTAAAATGATAGACTCCCAAGTCGTTATTCAAAGCGTTTTTGAAAGCTTGCTCCGATGAGCGGTTTGGTGTATAAGTTTGACGCATTCTGTCAGGACAGTTCAATAATTAATTGCAAATGAAATGTTCACCTACTTATATAGCTACGAATCAACAATTAGAATTGAGGTTTTCTAATGTGTAAGTTTAAGATAGTGGGATAGTCCACATTCGTAATTGAATCACAAACAGATCCGCATCCCGATGAATGGTCAAATTTGACGTCCTCACCATTTTGGTCTGTGATAATGAAACTCAGGTCTGTGAAAGAACTTACGGAAAGTGGCTTGTAGCTTGGATTCTGAAATTCGTGGAAGCTGTACCCCTTTTTGGATCGTAACGGAATACAGGTCATCAATCTCGCAAATGTATTATTGATTATGGAATCTTTCACCACGCTCGAATAAAGGAGACCACATACGACTGTGGTTTTCAGTGGGTAATCGTCAACTTCAATCTTATTCTTGTCAGCTGTATCTTTATAACACCCAAAGATTTCAAAGAGAGGAGATTTTTCATCAAATGAGAAATTTTCTGTTCTCTGGGACAACTTCAAAATATTCCGACCATTCAAATCGATCTCAAAAGTTGGAGGATCCTTTAAATTTGATCTTTTTCCATCATAATCGCCATCAAAAGTTCGATTCATTACTTTGTAGGCGGCCCTTAAAATTTCGCATGATCTATCATAAAAGCCATTTGGAATTTCGAAAAGTGAGATTTTTCCACCTTTGATGACTGCAAAACTGTTATTTTTTTCTGTTACATTGAATATTGGCGCATGGTATATGCTTTTGACGGCAATTTCATATCCATCTGTGAGATTGATTACGCTATTGAAGCTTGAAGAAAATCTACTCGGGGAGTCTCCGCTTGTCACGGTGATGTACTGCTCCATTTTTTCGAATAATAGGTTTTGAGGTTTGATTTGGTTTATTTATAGAGCCCGTAGTCTGTATTTTAGAGTCTACTCTCTTAATTTTAGATCCTAATCTCTTTACATTAGAAGCAGTGCGTTTTTTAGACTTTGATTTTTTCACATTAATCTTATCTTTCTGAACAAGTCGGTCTGGGACGTCAATGCTTTTCCTGATAGACGGTTGATCTGCTGAAACCAATAGAAATCTCATAATATTGCCGGGATAAGAGGCAGCACCGTCTTCAATATAGTTTGAAATATTGAGCCGCCTTTTTGTACCTTGGTATTTATAGATTTGTTGGTACCCTTAGCCAGTGACTTGATGAATTTTCGGTGAGGTTTTAGTTTCTTTACGTGCTTTTTCTCAAGTCGTAAAGTACCATTTAAAATGTATCGACATAAAGCCTTGATTGCTTTATGCATATCCGGGGTGTTTTTTAGAATAATGACGGCATTGTTTCTTTTAGCTTTTGACAGCATCTTTAATGCTCCATGGTGTGATTTAATACTCATGTGAATACGCTTGGGCATTGCTCAAAGTAATCAGTCGTAACTAACAGCTCCTCTGGTACAAGTGGGTGAAACGAAAGTAATACGAAATCAAACGGTTTCACATATTTATAGGCTGAGAGTAGCAACTCTTGTCTCGTTCCCAAAATTTGTCTACCTAATCTGGCAACTTGTGAAAAATTTCTCTTATTTTTGAAAAGAAGCAGATACTGACTATTATTAGATATCAACCTATAGAGTTCATTATTCAGGAACAAACTGTGAGATATAAAGATTGTAGTTGTGTTCTTGTGTGACGATCCTGCTATGAAGTGTTGTGCAAGTGCTCTATTCAGTTCGAGAATGAGGTCATCACAAATAAGGAGTTTTGGCCCCTTATATTTATCAATTACACTAAGATCGAGACCTTTCACAAATGTTATTGGTGGGTTTGATTTATCTTTTTGCCAGTTTTCGAACTCTTCTTGATAAGCGCCATACAAGTAAAATATCTTACTAGGCATCGGGTCAATCAGCTTCTCGCGAACAATCCTCAATACAGCAGTAGTCTTGCCTGATCCACTTGAACCAATCACCAAGATATTTGAATTTGCAATAAATTTAATCGACATTCTGGAGCTCCTCACTGTAGAAAGAGCCTAGTACAGGTTCTTTATCTTTATCTTCAAGTAAGAATGTTTTCGGTTGCGTATCAAGTAATGCTTTTATACGAAATATTTCGTTCGTCCAACGCTCTTCATACTCTTTAGCAAAATCTCTCTTGTATGCTATAATTCGCACTTTTTGTCCTACTTTAAATTTTGCTGGCTCTGTTTTAAAGCCAGGATATAACCGTAAGCGTATTCTGACGTAATCCTTTTCAGAAACTTTTGCTGGTTTCATTTTTATTGACGAGTGGTAACTATTATTGTAGGCATACACCAAATCGTCAATATGGTTGACCCAATTGTTATTCTTATTTTTGTAAATAGTCTTCCTATTTTCCCTCGTAATGTCCTCTGTACCCTTTCTACCAAAGATGCTTTCGTTTGCGAATAAACGTAGTACATCTTGGGACCAAAAGCCTCTAACATTCTATTAACATCAACATTAAAAATTCGGAGCCCCGGTCACACATGAGACGTTTAGGTCTTTCAGTCATTATTAACAGAGCGAGTGCTTTAACAATCGACTTTGCTGACTTATCCTTTAAAGTTTTGACCCAAACAAATCTCGAAAAACAATCAATAACGACACACAAATATCTTATATCGTCATTTTCTCCTTTAAATTTTTGAAAGTCCAATAAATCAATTTGCCAAAGATCTTTTGGTGCGTGGGTCCATGTTTTCCGAAATCGTTTAGGGCGAATAGCTTTTTTATGTAAAGTGTAAGCATCTAATTTACGTAGAGTATGTGAAATTTC